ATGGCTTGTTGCCGACAGAGTCAGCAATTTTTTTTTTTTTTTTTTTAAATTTTAGGGTGAAAAAGAGGGGTGCGGTACACGAGGGCTGTTTATACACCATTAATTACCGCAGATCTTAGTCTTTGTGCAGGTCTGAAAGACACGAGTGCTATACAGGTAACTCCTATAAGAACCCTCTAAGATTATTATCCAAATCACTTGAGGTACTTACACTGTACACTGTACTTCTATTCTATACTACATGTGTACAATCATGTACAGTAGGACGCAATAGAATGTACTGGACTGGGGGAACTTGAAGATGTGATTATTTTGGAACCATGCAAAGTTTAACCTTCACTTTAACAATAGAGGGTTACTCATCAGTGCAGCTCTATTCTCTATTGTTAAAAGCCTATTCAATCCTATACTAGTCTGCAAGTTCAGACTCTAATTTGCTACTTAAAGAGAGGAAACATGACACTTGAAGAAATGTGGCTGTTATACTAACCCTGACACAGTACTCTTGAGGCCTGTCCTCATCAGCTCGAATAGCCTGCTATTTCTGATTTGGGAAATTAGCCTGATCATGAAATAGCGGGCTATTTGGCAGGTGAAGACGCAATTAGCGGGCTATTTCCTTGGTAAATCTTCCCAAGATATCTTGGACTAGTTTGCAAAATAGTCCGCTATTTGCCCCGTCCACGGGTCTTCACCTGCCCGAAGATTCGCACTATTCGCTGGTGATAACAGGCCTATGGTGGATAGTTACTATACATGTACTTGTACATTGTAGTTGTAACCGGACTAGAGTTGGAGTGGGCGGACCATGTAGTACATGTATTGAACTTTACTTGAATGGATTTAAGAGACCGAGGGAGATCAAAAGATTAAGTGAAGTTGTAGTGTTCTTGTTGTGTAGTGAACCTTTTTTTATTATCATCATTTGACTTCTTGTTCAATCAGGTAAATGAGGCCTAAATGTTTTTTTTAATCTAGCCCTTTAAATAAAGATGTAAATCTCATATTACTTTATTATTATTATTATTACTTAATATGTTATCATCATTATCGTTTTGTTTTATTATTATCATTTCTTTATTAATAAATTACTTGTAGTAGTAGTAGTACATGTGTTGTAGTAGTAATATTTGTTTATGATTTAAAATTATTATCATTATCATTGTTATATTTATATTCATCATAATTTGAGAACAGATAATAAGTGGGTAGTACATGTACAAGTAACAGGCATTTTCAAGTTTGCTTTCTCAGCATTTTGGGATTGGAATAACAATCATATTAACACTTTAATTATAGGTACATGTAATTGATAACCAAAGACCAAAGTACAGCCTGTATAATGAGCATTGGACTTTAGCATGAGAAAACATCTTTAGATCTCGTTGGTATTGTACACTTTAAACCAAGATATTGCCAGCAGTGCATGTAATGAAATTAAAGGAAGTCCAACCAGATATTCTGTTGCTTTTAACCCTTCCTGGAAAAAAATTATTTTTAGGACAAAATTTATTTTTAGGCATAAATTGATCACATATTGGCAACAGTAATATATTTCTGTTATACTGTAGCTACAAATGTAGATTGTTTTAATGAGTTGCAATGTCTCTAGAAACAGTATATGTGGGCGGGGATGTTATCAAAAATTTGCCAATTTCGATTAAAAAAACAATGATTTTTAACTTCTCAACGTGTTGCCAATTTGAAGCTTTTATACATGTAGCACCTGTTCCTTTTAAAAATTTGAGACATAAAACGCAAGATAGTGAACCCCCAAAATGGATGCAGTAAGTGTAGGAATGTTTGCCTTTTTTCTCATTCATATGGCATTTAACTTGTAATGCTCTGAATCAAAATCGATTGAGCTAATCCACAAAAAGTGAAATTATTGTCCCCAAGTAACATGTTTATACACGATACTGTTCACTAATTACAACTGTAAATACAATGTAGAATCTACAGAACATCATAGAAAGATCAGGGTGGTATTATAATTTTTCTGAAAATATATTGCTTTTGTATCTTTCTCGATGGTAAAACACTATCAATTGGTTAAAATATGTAGACTTCTATTGCAGAGTGTACAGTATTGCGAAAATTAGAATTAATTATTTGAAAGTATTGAATTTAATGCAATGCAATTATTTTTCTTGGGGCAGCTGCAAGTCTGGTCTTCAAAGCTGTCCCCATTCATAGTATCATAATATTGTCATAATATCATAATATAGTCACTCCTGGTAATAAAGACTGTATGTATTAATACAAGTATGGTTTAAAGCTTATCTGCCGTAGTTTACAGAAGGGATTAAACTGCCCTGCAAGGTCACTGGACAGGTGGTTATCTCATCAACTCAGCTCTCAGTTAACATAAGAAAAAGAGGATCATGGGGGACCAATGGTCACCGATTAGGCATTGTTTGTTATATAGAGGGCGCAAGTAGCTACAAGTAGTGCAGTGGGCCTTTAACTTGTAAGGCTCTGAATCAAAATTGATTGAGCTAAACCACAAAAAGTGAAATTATTGTCACCAAATAGCAAACTTTATACACGATACTGTACACTAATTACATTGAATATGTAGGGTCTACAGAACATCATAGAAAGTGCAGGGTGGTACATGTGATGTATGTGTTATAATTATTCTGAAAATATATTGATTATGTATATTTCTCGATGGTAAAACAATATCAATTATCATGAATTACATGTAGGAGTCTTTGGTTAAAATATGTCGACTTCTATTGCAGAGTGTACAGTATTGCAACGATTAATTATTTGAAAGTATTGAATTTAATGCAATGCAATTATTTTTCTTGGGGCAGCTGCAAGTCTGGTCTTCAAAGCTGTCCCCATTTAAAGTATCATAATATCGTCACTGTAATATATACCGTACTGTACTAATTAATGTAATAATGTTACATGTATGGCTTACAAATTACAATATTCAATCAACTCATTTTTAATTCTTTCCTGATACTGAGTGTTTATCATCTGTCTTTTATTACAACTTTTCAAAACTTGAATCAAAGTTCTTTCGCTGCTAATAATAACCTTCTGGATTCAGTTTCAGTTTCCCATGTATATGTACACACATACTTTGTGAGTGTGTTTCACAATGGCATGATGTACTTTAGAGTCTGTATAATAAATCATGTCCATAATTTAATGACTCTCAAATCATTTCCTTTTGCAATATCAGTATACAATGTATGAAGAAATATGAACATGTACATAGTTTACAAAATTACAGTAGTGTGTACATGTAAATGTACACATGTACATTGTACATGTACACTGTATGTACATGTACATTGTATATGTACAGTGTATATGTTCAATGCATGTACAGTACAGTACAGTACTGTACAGTGTGTGTTGTTTATGATTGTTTTAAATGTTTATGTTGGGGGGGGGGGGGCCACATGTAGTTTTAACTAGACTGCAGACACAAATTCTAATTTGACAATATTAAAGTTTACCGTACCACAATTCCTAAAGCCTTTTCCGGAGCCTACAGTAGCTCTGCTCTGTCAGTCTCTGCATGGACCTAGAAGCAGCTACTGTACATGTAAACTAAAGTAAAGATCCTATGCAGATTGCAGCATAAATGCTGTCAGCCTAGTCTTACAGTGCAGACACTGTTATGCAGAGTGACCAAAATTGCATTCAGGGTTTCTGCTAGCGTCCAGCAAGCTAAATTTCAACAGAGTTTAATACTGAGCTAAGTTTGGGTACAATCTGTCATTACATGTATGCATGGTAAAATTAATAAGTATAACTGTATGCTTTATGACATGTACAAGCACTGTACATGTATGTACAGCACATGTAGGCCTACTGATTCCTCTGTGATAAAGTTTATAAGTAATTATGTGGAGAAAAAAAAACTGAAGGGTGCGCGTGCAAGCGTGAAGTCAGCAACCTCAATGATAATCATCATCATAATGTGAATTACTTTATACATGAACTTAATGAGGATCTGAGATTAAAGTCCGCTAACTTCACGCACATGCGTGCCCCAGCCCGCACCCCACTGTTGGTTTGCACTTGTGTTGTGCAGCGATTTGCCATGAAACCTGGCCTAGGCCTGTGACTTGTGAGAACCTGCATACATGTATTATAATGTCTTCTGTTATTATAAATACTCCAAAAAGGCTAATTAAGCCCAAAAGGCAAATAACGCAAAAAAGATAAGAAAATTGACACAAACCAGATTAATGCTTTTTTCCTTCTAAATGTTTTAAATTTATATAACCTTGTAATCAGTTATTGTTAATACATGCTTTTTTCCTTGTAAATAAGTTTTTAAGTTACACAACCTTGCCATTTCCTAATAATTTGTGTACATTACCATGTTTTTTTGTTGTTGTAAATGAACTTCTTGATCTCGGTTGGCGGACTCTGGGACCTGCTTGTTTTGGGGGCTCTGCGCGCGTGAGACTGTATCGTATCCATGGTCGATCGTATCCTACCATCTTTCATGTTTTGAATTGTGCAGATCCTTGAAACACGTTGGTCTCTTTGCCAATCTGCTGGGATTGAGATGTCCATCCTCCACAGGGGCCGGGGCCCCACTCACAAGCATTGCTTTTTGGAGTCTCAATTTGGATCATGTTTGTTCGTCATGATTACTAACTATGCCATGGGGTTTTTAATAAACTGAAACTGAAACTATGGTAAGAAACACAACGACTTTCAAATCATGACTATTATTTGACAAAGATTTTTGGTATGTTTAAGTAGGGTATCTCCACACCAGAGTCGTGCCGGATCGAAGTTTGGATATGATTCTGAACTACCGCCCCCCCCCCCTTGTTTTCCCCTTCTTCCCCTCTCTGAGCATGCCGAGTCTCTCTCTCTCTTTCTCTCTGTCAGTGTCAAGTTTCTCATAATTTATCTACTTTTGTTAATGTTGTATCTTTCCAATATCCACCCTATTATCCAAAACATCTTTCTTTTCTTCTTCTTCTTTTCATTTATTATAACATCTTATAACTTACCTTCATCTACGGCACGAATGTACTGCCCGTGTTGACCCTTCTCGCCATGAAGATTGAAGCCGTAGCCATCGGACCCGCGAACCAACGAGCACAACCTCGGTTTCCCGGGCGCATCCATTTTTGTTTTTTCCTCTTCGCGTTCGAAACCCCCTCCTTCAAATCAACTTTCCAGCAAAATTCCCGAAATGACACCACCAATGCTCCGCCTGGCAATAATCCTGTGGTATTTATCTCAGACGGGGTACCGTTGGTCTCCGATTTTGCGAGAAATTAATGGCAGAAAAAGTGGTTCGAATGATGCTGATCGGTGTTACTCCCTGTTACGCAAAATACTCGCTGACAGGTGTATCGGTCCCACATACACAAATTGCATGGAGCTAGCGCTGAACACTGTCTAATCAATTATCATTGTACGTAACATAATGATGCTCTGTGTATAGTGTATTGGAGGGCAATGTACAGTTTGGTCACATGACCCCGAAATCCAAACAAACTATTATGGGCGTACACGCTTTAGCATACCATCACACTGGCGAATGCGTGGACACACGGAGTGAGTGATAACTTTGTCAGATAGAAAAACAACGCCCTTTATAAGTTGATGAGTGAGAAATGGAGCAATGTTCAATGACTATTGTAAACTAACCCACATAAATTGGAGAAGAACTACACCTTGAATCAGTTGATGAATAATTGAACAAACTTTCCACTATGACTAGACCCTCTCTCTTTTTCTCGCTCTCTGTTTTTTTTTATAAAGATGCATAACAAATTATTATGCAGGTTGCCTGGGGATTTTAATTTCAGGCATGATTGAATTATGTTAAAAATATGTTAGTCATCAACTATAATTAAATAAATTAATAATAATTATCTGTTCAAAGTGTCATCATTCTTAGTGATTCATAAATTGTTATACCTCACTATTTTATTGTTACCATTTCTGTAAAAGACATAAGGTTATAATTATTTAGTTCATTTTTTTCTTTTCCCGGCATCCATGTGACTCTTTTCCAAATGTACTCTCGTTTTGTATTCAATGATGTTCTTTGTTTTTGCCGAATAAATAAAAATAATAATAATAAATAACAATAATCAAATTGACGAACGTTTCATCACTACCAATGATTCAAAAATACGTCTGGATTTGTGTAGGCCTACACCCCTCCCCTCTCCCGTCAGCGCCCGTCCGTCTTCTTTTTGTCCTTTATATTTATTATTCTTTTTTGTTGGTTCTTCTTCTTCTTCTTCTTCTTCTTCTTCTTCTTATTCTTCTTCTTCTTCTTCTTCTTCACATTTTCACTACTCTTTCCAAACTTTTCTCCTCATCTTCCTTTTTATTCTTCGTCTTCTTCCTGTTCCTTTCTCAGTACTCCAATTGTATTTTATTTTCTTCCTCCTGTTCCCCCCCCCCCCCTCCTTCGTTCTTCACCTCCTTAAGTTTAATCTTCTTCCATTACCTTTTCTAGTTTTCTTATTCTTTTTTTCTTCAACCTCAATGAATGAAGCCAGGGAAAACACTTCGATTTTTTTTTCTCGTCATCTGCACGGTCGCTCATGAGCCACACATGTACTTTTGCACAAAACAATAGGCACCAATTGGGGAAAGGGTTGCTTTGTGCAAGGCAACACAACGGCTCTGCAAAATTGACCTTTTCCAGACTTGATAAGCACCATGGCAACCCTTTTAACATCGGTACATAAACATCGTTTTCTATTCAAAACTACAATCTCGGATAAATAAAGGCCGAAACAATATATGTGTATGCGTGACACGTTGCCCAAATGATCAAAATTGTATAGCTAATCGTGACTTTCTTCACCTTGTTTCTAATTGAATGCTATACCTGTTTTTTTTATTTTTTTTATCTTCTTAATCGTTTAGTTGAAATGTCATAGTTTTATTATGTTTTTATTGCCCATTGACTGTTCTGTTTCAATTGATGTTGGAATTTGAAAATAAATGGTTTGAATTGAATTGAATTGAATTGAATTGACTGGCCAAATCATTTATTCCTAAATCTACATTAATTTTGCAAAAATTTGCCCAGACACGAAATTGCTCTCATGTTGGGATTCCATTTGTTTGATTGAATGATTGCTTCATTATTTTTTTCTTTCTCTGTTCTTTTTATTTTTTGTTATGATTTCATTTCTTTTTCTTTTTCTACTCAGTGTTGTAAGCCCGTTGTCAGCCTAATAGAGAAAGATAACATCTTTAAATCAAGTGTCAGGGAGCGCCGATGTTTGTTTGTTTTAATTGCAGGGGGTGAACAGACTAGACTTTATTGGTGTCGTTGATTTTGTGGTGTTTGTTGTCGTTGTTGTTGTTATTGTTGTTGGTTATAGTCCTGTATTTTCTAGTGCGGTAGGCTCTATTGAAATGGGTAAGGCCCATTTCAAACAATTAAGTCTGTTTCTGTGTTTGTATCATACATGCACTTACATAGGCCTACATGCAGTGCTTCGCAGGTTGTTGTTCTGCATTGTGTGAGGGGGCGGAGCGACCGAGCAAGAAGGTTTCAAATATTAGAATAATGAAACTCTGTATGCTAATTATATAGAGCAACCGCGTGTTAAAAAAATGTGGAATGCACTGAAAGATTAAGGTGCGGAGTTGGGGGAGGGGTGCTACAGCCCCCACACGCCCCCGGTACAATAGCTGGTAAGTGTTTGTCTCTTTCTGAACCTCTCCCGCGCGACCTCTCTCTCTCTCTGAAGCAAGCCAGATCAAGCGAAGCGTGATGCTCGCTATATACCCTCCGTCTCTGTCTGTCTGTCTGCTCTAAGAATATTACAACCGTGATGCGTTGCTATGGCGACGAGATGTTAGGAGGGTGGTGAAAGCGATCGATCGATCGTTATAATGTGTCAAGTCTGATTCGGGAAGACATCTGTTTGTCACGTGATAGAGTAGGTATCACGTGACGGGATGGAGAGGGAGATGGGGATGTATCTAATAGCTGGCAGTCTCAACAACATCAACGAAGATTTGTCGTCAATTAAAATGGTGACCCGCTCCCAAAGGGAGATAATCAGAGTAAAAAATTAAACTTTTGATACCCCCCCCCCCCCCCCCCCACTTTAAAACAAAAAAGTTCCAGAAATCACCTAATCGAGTTGGGAATGTCTGCCCCAAGTAATAATTAATGAGTCCATGATGGGCTCACAATTAATTTTTAGCAAATCATGAGTTTCTTTTTTATCATTACACTGAAATGAATTTCTCAAACGACTATTAAAGAAACAAATCAATTAGAATTCAATTCAAATTTAACCTGATGACAAACTATGGTACAATGTGTTAGACAATAAAATATAATCAGATAAATAAAAAAAAAGATTATAGTAGACATTGCAAAGAAGCCCCCCCCCCCCCCCAAAAAAAGAAACTCATCTTGAAGGTGCTTCCGCAACCCCAACCACCCCCCCCCCCCGCTTTGCTTTTTTTCTTCCTTGGTCTTGCTACAGAAGTGTCACTATATAAGAAAAGGAAATTAGCGATTATTGTCGATAATGGCAGATGTTTTTTTAAATTGTGGACCGAAAGCTCAAACCTCCAACTGATTGCTGTTCCTCTTTACAATGCCTTATTCACGACATCACCTGACATGGGAGGGACAACATTCTGATAATATTCTCTCTCTCTCCCCCCTCTATTATCCTTTTCTTTTTCTTTCCTTTCTGTCTCTCCTCAATTCACGCATCTCCCTCTCTCTTTTTTTCATTTCCTTCTTCTTCTTCTTCTTTTTTTTCCTTCTTCTTCTTTTTCTTCTTCTTCTCCTTCTTCTTCTTCTTCTTCTTCTTCTTCTTCTTCTTCTTCTTTTTCTTCTTCTTCTTCTCCATCTTCTTTATCTTATTCTTCTTCTGATCCTACTGCTCCTCCTTCGTCTCCAATATTCTTCTCCATATTTTCCTATCTCACATTCGTCCTTTCTTGCTACCAGTGATGCTTTCTCTCTTTGATACCAAATAAATTCTTCTCCTCCCCTTTCTCTACTTCCCTCCTCACTCATTTATTTATTTATTTAATTTCATCTCTTTTTATCTATATTTCATTTTTTTGTTCTTTTTCTTTTTCTTTTCTTCTTTCTCTTTCCTTCTTCTTCTCATTTCTCTCCTCTTTTCTCTTACTCCAACTTTACATTCTTCTCGCTCCCTTTTCTTATACACTTTTTTTTCTCCATCTTTCTACCTTGTATTCTCACAGACATGTGCCCCACCCCTCTCTCTCTCTCTCTCTCTCTCTCTCTCTCCACATTTCTCTCCCTGTCCCTCTCGCTCTCTATTTGAGTCTCTCACATTCTCTTTCTAATCACAGTTCACGTTGTTTGACCAAATCAGTAACCAATTTGTCAACCTCAGGCTTACTTTTCTAACTATAAAGCGGCCAAATTCAACTTGAAAATATTGAAAGGGGATTTGTAGGCCATTGTAACACTTTTATATGAGGAACATCAGCTTTTCTTCAGCGAAGAATGAGCTGCAATTACCCCTAAACCCCACCACTTTAGGAGATTACACATAGCTGATCTCAAATTTACAAATCTCAATTGAAAATGGAAATGGTTCTTTTAAAGGCCTAATCCGCTCCAAAAGTAGATCAGATTACCAGTGGTGCGTTCATAGCGTTATTGGTGCGTTATAGCGGTATTGATCAGCTCTCTGTCTTCGCCTACAAACTTTCTTTTCTTTTTATTCATTGTCAGATGTTGTCCTCCCCCCCCCCCCCCCCCCCCTCCCCGGGAAATGGTATTATGCATTTTTGGAAAATTCATGGATTATTGTACAATAATTATACATAATTTTACAAATAAAACAGTTAGCAACGTCAAGTTAAGAGAATAGCGGAAACATCGTATTATGACAATCCTGATATGACCCAGCAAGCAAGATACAGATGTAAAATGACTATGGTGCAAGACCCGGAAGCTGGGACACCCCCCCCCCCCCCCTTGAAGTTAGACCTGGAAGCTTGGCAGCTGGAGACGGCTTTCTTCCAGAAACTTTGGTATTCAAGGTATTCAAGGTATTCAAGGATGTAGGAATCAAAGGAAGAAATAGATTAAAAAATAACGAAAGAAAGAAAAATTAAAGAAGGACGAAAGACAATTTTTCTCCCCCTTTTTTTTCTTCATTTTGTTTAAAACATTCATTGTCAGATGTTGTCCCCCCCCCCCCCGAAAATAGTAGTATGCATTTATTGGAAATTTCATGGATTATTCTACAATAACTACGTCGAGTTAGGAGAATATCGGAAACATCGTATTATAACAGGAAGAAAGGAAAGAAGGATAGAAGGATTCGAAGGAAGAAATAAATTTAAAAAATGGAGATGGAAAGTAGACAAAAAGAAAGAGAGTTATAAATATTAAACGAAAGAAAGAAATAATAAAGAAGGACGAAAGAGATAAATATCAAAATGCAATCAAATGGAGTGTCCTGCGTTCATTATAGGTGGCGCTATACAGTTCTTTGCGAAATACACGTTACGTGAACTGTCTTGCTGTGCTGATCTCTGAGCTAAAAACCTTTCTCTGCACGGCCTCTCTCTCTCTCTCTCTCTCTCTCTCTCTCTCTCTCTCTCTCTCTCTCTCCCCTCTCTCTCTCTCTCTCTCTCTCCCCTCTCTCTTTCTCTCTCTCTCTCTCTCTCTCTATCCTCTCTCTCACTCTCTCTCTCTCTCTCTCTCTCTCTAAAGACATTTTACCAATACATTTTTCGATATATATTCATGAAATAGATATAAAAAGTAATGCTTTAATTGTAATAAAGAGCAATTAATGTCTTTAAAAAACGATGTATTTCTTGGAGTAGGGGCTTATACAAACAGTCGATGAAATAATAAGTCATGACTACAACATCATGTTGTATGTATGCAATTCGCATTCTGAATATTGATATATGACAAGTGAATGCAATCATAATTATGTAACATGAGAAAGTTGAGTTCTGGGAAGAGGTGAAAAATAATTTGTGAGCGTTATCTTTGTGTTATGCAAGCGTGGAATAACATCAGATGAAAAATGTTCCCTGAAAAGCATGGCTCTTCAAATGCCTTAATATCCTAAATAAAGCATGTATTATGTATAAAATCAATAAAAATCGGAACGGATTCTTATGCCACATGTCCCATACACATCTTGAGTGCTTGTAACTTTACCAAGACTAGGCCAAATTTCTTTTCATTTTAATGATTCCAGAACCTTGCAGTAGGCCTGCCGCCTACAAACCAATACTTATATGCTAGATGATCAATCTTTTCTGATCGATTCCACAACGTTTATTTCACAATGCAATCCCTTGACAAGAACTCAACTTTATCTTTAACAAAGATGTTTGCATTAAATGTGATTACATTAATACGAAAATGGTATATTACAATGTATTTTCAAATCGCTAAAGAGGCCCATCTGTTTGATGGTGAAAATTAGTTCTTCTTAATTCACAATAAGCAGGAGAAGTTTTTTTTTTCAACGTATTTACAAGCTTCAAAATTACCGCGATCAGCAGTAACGTCGCAGAGGCATGCGTTGTATATAAACATCTTGGTTATTACAATACACCACATAATTATCTAACTTTCAGATTAATATACTTCCACCCTTGCATTTATCACTACTTAATGAAAGAAAAACTTGAGTTCTGGTAAATATAGAAAATGAAGTCTCACAGAATCCAACGAAACGTACACTGAATATTAAAGATTACAAATAAACGACATGTACCAAACAATTTTGGTAGAAAACATGTATAGCGGCCGAGTAATGAGCCCCCCCCCCCCCCTCCTGTGGATCCGTGCCTGTATATAACCATCTTAGAAAACTAACCAACCTATTACAATTCACCATTAATAACATAATTATCTAACTTTCAGATTAATATACTTCCACCCTTGCATTTATCACTACCTAGTTGAAGAAAAACTTCTGGTAAATATAGAAAATAAATTCTCCCAGAATCCAACGAAACGTACACTGAATATTCAATATTACACATAAATGACATGTACCAAGCAATAGTGGTAGAAAATGTATAGTGGCTGAATAATGAGCATAGAAAGATAAGGAAATCCGGGTATTAAAAAGTAGGCCCAAAACCACGAGGTCACTATATATGCAAATGGAGGTTGTGTTTTTTTAAATCAAAGATGGCGCCCAGTACTTTTTTGTGCGGACTTTTATTTCACTGATTCAAACAACCAATCTACTGCAGGATAAAAACGCCAGGATAAGCCATATCATTTTTTTGTCTCAAAACACGATTCCCATACCAGCAGGGGCAAGGGGCGTCTTTCAAAGCGAGGGGGGCACCCAAAAAGGGCAATTTCTGGAGAAAAGTAGGGGCACCTTCAAAGCGAGAATATACAATTTTTAGACATTGGTAGGCCCTTATACCCCTACATTGTGATGAGATTATCAGTGATGATTTCACCGTTTTTTTCTCTCTCTTTACATGATCCAAGATACTTATTTATTTGCGAGCGAGTAACTATTTTAAGATTTGTGAGGTTGCCGTGCTAAAAATTACATCTTATAAAGAGGAAAACAATCCTAATCATGAGATATAGAAAGATCTTATTATGTTAACTCAAAATGCGAGCGAGCGTAACGAGCAAGCTTATGGGTGAAATCGAAGAAAAAGTTGCTCTTAGTCGCTTTAAATTAGATGCACATTTTATGGGGAAAGAAAAAGGGGACACATGTCCAAAGTTTAAAGGACAATCATTAGAAAAGAAAAAGAGGACATGTCAAAGTAAAAATCGGATTTATCAGAGGTAAAAATGAGACACTACTCGCACCTCATGAGGTGGGAGAAGAAAAAAAAAGGAACTTATAACGAAGGAAAAGGGGCGATTATCAAAAGGAACATGGCACTAATAAAAAGGAAAGGATAGGGGCATGTGTCAAAATAAAAGGGGCACTTATCAGAGATGAAAAAGGGCACTTATTACAAAGTTAAAGATGACACGTCTCACATTTTTGATAAGGGCAATCGCCGGAGATAAAGAGGCACTTTAAACTGTCAAAATAAAAGGGACATCTCTCAGATTTGAATAAAGGCAATTATAAGAGGTGAAGGGGCAATCACCTAAGATTAATGGGGGCCCTTGTGAAAATGAAAAGGGGCACGTATTACAAAGAAAATTGTGCACCTATGAGATTGTAATAGAAGCATTTATCAGACGTTGAAAAAGGGGCATTTATGAGAAAGGGAAGTGGCTCTAATTAAAAAAGAAAAGGGGCATTTATCAGAAGGACAAAGGGCACTTATCATAAAGACGAGGGGACATGTTTCAAAATAAAAGAGGGCACCTATGAGAGGTGTAGAGGGGCACTCATCAAAGATGACAAGGGGCACTTTTCAGAAGTAAAAAGGGGCACCTTTCCTATGTAAAAGGGATTACTTCAGGAAACTTGAAAAAGTGTGTGGGGGGGGGGGGGGGGGGCAATACTCCACCTCCTCTGAATACCAGAGCTCAATATAGCTTTATAGATGCATCTTAACGACTTCCCGCTTGCGGCGGGTATTTTGGTAAGAAGAAGATCTTCTTTCCTATCCCTTGCTTGATAATCTGTGGGGTCTGCAGGGTTAGCTGGCGTCGGCGCTGGTAGAGCATATATCCCTCCTGGCGCTTCACTCTGTCAGTTACCTGAATGCATGGATGATTATGAGAAGAAAACTATAATGAAACCTGTCTGTAAAGAACACACAAGGGTGACAAGAAAAGTGGTATTTACGGACAGGTGGTCTTTATGATCAGGTTCCTTTAGTACATGTTTTAATGAGAAACCATTTTCAAGGGTAACAAAAATACGGTCTTTGTAGACAGGTGGTTTCTCTATACAGGTGGTCACTAAAGCAGATTTGACTGAATATCAAATAGCTCTTATAGATGCAAAGGTTTGATTGGGTGTCGTATCACAAGAGAGAAATGTGGAATGGAGGCGGATCTGTACACAATAACCCCACCCCACGCACTTTAAAGGAAGAAACAAGGGGAAGAGAGGAAGGAGGAAAAGGAGAAGGAAAAGAAGAAGAAGGAGAAGAAGAAGAAGAAGAAGAAGAAGAAGAAGAAGAAGAAGAAGAAGAAGAAGAAGTAGAAGAAGAAGAAGAATAAGGAGAAGAAATTGATGAAGAAGAAGAAGAAGAAGACAGGGAAGAAGAAGAAGGGAAAGAAGGGAAAGAAGGAGAAGATCGAAAAAGACGATGATGATGACGAAAAAGAAGAAGTAAACGATAGCGTGAAGGAGGAAAAAATAGAACAAAAAAGAAACATTGGCTTAAAACCATTCTTCTCTTTTTATTAAGCCTCTTCAGCACCGATGCTGTTCTTCCTGATGTCCCTGCGGCTGTTATTACCCCAGCATCTGCCAGCCTAGGTCTATACACTTGTGGAGATTGGCAAATGTGGAGTAATGCTTTGCCAAAAGACGTATTCGAACCATTAACCCTTGGATCGAGAGTCCAGCGAATGAACCACGACACCTCCTCTGAATGGGCAACAAAATGATTTGGGGAGGGGGAGGGCATCGGGGATGTTTGGAACGAACAAAAAATCGAATGAATTCATTATTCATTTATTCTCGATGGAAAATTAGCTACTCCACGTACTACTCATCTAAAATTAACTCAAAACGAAAATGATGTACTAAAAGAAGTGTAACCTTTGTCATGATGTCATCGAGATGGTGGTCGTGGGCACTGGCGATCAGCTCTTCACAGAGAGCCTGAATGAACCAAGATCCGTTCTGTTTGTGCCGTAGTGAGAAATAGCCTGTCAATGAGAGTACAATCATCGTAAATGTACAGCAATTTCTTCAATTTACTGCTCGTTACCTCTTCCCTTTCATGACCTTCAGCCCCCCCCTCTCCTTCTATCTTTCTCTCTCTTTCTCTCTCTCTCTCTCTCTCTCTATATATATATATATCTCTCTCTGTTCTCCACTCTCTTTGTTTTTCTTTCTCTCTCTCTCCACTCTCTTTGTTTCTCACTCTCTCTCTCTCTCTCTCTCTCTCTTCCTATCCCTCTCTCTCTCTCCCTTTGTCTCCCCTCTCTCTCTTTGCCCCCCCCTCTCTCTCTTTTATCCTCATCCCTCTCTTTTTCCTTATCCCTCTCTCTCCCTCTCTTCCTCGCCTCCCTCGCCCATATCTCTTCCTACATCTCTCTCTCCCTCTCTCTCTGTCCCTTCCTTCTCTCTCTCTCCCTCTCTCACTCTCACCCCCTCCCCCCCCCCCCATCATCATTTCTCCCCATACCTTCCGACGTGGATTGAGCAATGTACATATCAGCATTGTCCGGTACACTGCAGTCAGTTTCCACTTCTCCTCCTCCTCCTCCTCCAACTCTACCAGGTGATGTCAAACATGCTTCATCTTCTGTTACCACGGTAGCCCCTCCATCCCTTGCTACCCCGTCAGTCCCGACAAAGTCTGCACATATTTCATTATCCACTGCGGAAGTGGAGAGAGATGGAGCACTCGGCGTTATTTTTTCTGAAAACAGTAAGAAGAAAAAAAAAATTCAACTTCTTGGCAAACAACTCTTTAACCTCTGCGTTTGATGTCATCGGTGAACGTTGTATTCGAGTGGTGCAGTCAGTGGAAGTGATAAATACACAAAATACTGTGTGTGCATGTGAACGATTTGACCGTGCCTTTTTTTTAATAATTTGAAACATTTTGAAAAACAGCCTTGCGGCTGACGGCAGGTTTTTTTTTACCGTATTGAAATAAAATAAAACAAACCTCCACGGCAAGCCTGGAAGATCATGATCTTTGGTTTCCCAATCAGGGCGGGGCAGTTGTTCCCAGAGAACATATCCTTGATTTCCTCAACGGTCACAACCACCTCGTCGGTACCTTGGATACCTTCCTTCTTTCCGTGACTCATGAAGACTAGGACCACCGAAGTATGAGAGGGTAAGATCTTCCGGTTTAAGCTCTTCAACTTCTGTCTGATGCCCTATAGAGTGAGAAATGGATAAGAGATTAAGAGGGAACAATGAAAATGCTTTGAGAATACACCGAAATGGCTCTGTGTGTGTGCGTGTGTGTGTGTTTGTGTGTTTGTGTGTGCGTTTCGGTGTGGGTGCGGATGTGTGAGTGTGCGGGTGCAGGGTGTGTTTGTGTACAGGGATAGCAGGTACGATGTCTCTGTGCGTGTGTGTGTGCCTGCAGTGTGTGTGTGTGTGTGTGTGCGTGTGCGTGTGTGTGTGCGTGTGTGTGTGTGGATGTGGATGTGTGGGGTGCGTGTCGGTGTGTGTTTGTACACTGGAATAGCAGCTACAGCCTCCGAGACTGATGGTCCGAGAGGCCGACAGCTCTTTCTTAATTGTGCCTTCTGACAAATTTTGTGGTATTTTTAGGTAATAATTATGTCTGTAAAGCGCCTGGACACATCGTCGGTGTATCTATATATATAAGCACGGTTTATTATTATTGTTATTATTCTGTATAGGTATATAAAAAATTCTTACCTGAGCAGTGAGATTTTGAGCTTCGTCTGCCGTATAGCCAATCTCGGTGAAGACATGTTTCACATTGGCTAAGTCAACATCAGACCCTGTTCTTTCAGTCGTTCGATCGGGACCAAAACGGTAGTTGTTCAAGATGAAGACCAGACCCTTATTGCGTTGATCCATCGGGTAACACTGAAAGAAATAATAGTTATAATATTCGTTACAATTATCATCTTTCTTTGTCGGAATCTTTCAGGAGAGGCAAACTTCCCCCACTTGCCAAAATACGCTAGTGAACAAGGAGCGAAACAATTTTTTTAATTAAAAAAAAAAAAAAAAATTGGTTAAATAAATGTATCAATGTACAGTATTATACATTTACTATTTTTTGTTTCTTTTTCCGGGGGGGGGGGGCTTTCTGCCAGCTTCGTTAGCAAGTTTATTAATTGAATGAATAAACACCCAACCCTCCCCTCCAAAGCATCCGACTCCTCCCCCCTCCCTCCTCCAGGAAAAGAACCAATTCTATAGTGGACTAGGACTAACCTCTTCCCGGTTGAGTTGTTGATCGGTTGGAAGAGCTGGGTAGATGTGCATGTCTTTATACAACCCATCAACATCTGGAGGAATATCTGTATGAAAAGGGAGAGAGAGATTGTATATTTTTGAATGTCAATAAAAGAGGAAATTTCAAAATAGGTGGAAACCGGAAAATGTTGGACCTGTGCTTTCACGATGAGACCGATGAAATAATTAATCAAATATTGAATAAGAAATTAAAGAACATTACTCAAATCAGGAAAACAAGATGCAAGTTTCAAAGTACGAATTCGACTTAATTTATCTCATACCAGTAGGCATTTGTTTTTAAATACGTTAATGGTACCTCATAATATTAGTATGATGTCGTATTAATACCATTAAGATAGCAATGCAAATAAGGGCCCGTCTTATAAAGAGTTGCGATTGATCCGAATCGATCGCAAGTCCTCCGATCGATCGTAAGTTTGCAGTCTCCTATCTCGTATGTACTTAGTTGCGATTGCTATCAATCGCAAATAAGGTGCGATTAATCGCAACTGTTTATAAGACGGGGCCCCGGAAGAAATCGCTACATACCAACAATATCGTCTTCCACTGTGTTTTCATCAAGAACACGGTACTGTAAGAAATTGAAAAGTGTATTAGTTGAGAAACTTTTACTATATACTTCTTAGAAATGCAAATATAACATTGACAAAATCGTGAGTCGAACAAGAATGATTGAAATAAATGAATACACAGATTTTTTAGAAAGTAAATCAAACCAAAAGTTTCAAACTCAAAGGTATCAGAAAGAATTTAAATTCATTGAGCCAATTTTGGCTAATTCTAAAGGGAAAAATGAGTCTCATTCCCATTTTTTTATGCCGGTATTTTTTCAGAAAATAAATCAAACTACTGATATTGGTACACCCGGCTTAATTTCTTCAAAGGTATACTGGTTAGGGTTGGGATTAAAATTGGTTTTGAGGTAAGGTTTATGGTTAGAGTTAGGTATACATGTAGTTAGATCTAGTGTTTGGTCAAGGGCTGAAGTTAAGAATTTGATTACTTTAGTTATTGTGTAGAATTAATAAAATAAATAAAAACATAAACAAACATTCTCTCTGTCTCTGTCTCTCTCTCTCTCTCTCTCTCTGTATATGTCTCTTTCTGTCTCTCTCTGTCTCTCCATATATATAAAGGCCTTTATACGAATACCTGTTGTTTGTCATGTCCATGACGTAATTTATAAATGATGTAAATTACTGGCAGAAGAAGTAGGGGAACGCCTAAGAAGCCAATAAATCCAAACTTCCTGAATGCTGTAAAATAAAAAATAACAATTATTATCTAATGACTGATAGCTATGCATATTTTACTATCGATAATGATGTTAAAGGCAGTGTATTATACTGACACTACTGAAGGTTTACGTATACAGAATCAAAGCGGTATACGGTATAATATCACACACAAAACAAGTATTAAGATAAGGAATTTGGGCTAAATACGAAAAAGTTTCAAAGAGCGCCAGTTTGGAGTTGTGAGACGCTCACGCGGTCATAGTTTAAATCACAAAGCTAACAAAATCCCTCCCGTGTGCCATCTCTACGAGAGGGAGTCATTTGGAGATCCATGACATGACTGACCAATCAGGAGCGACTTCCGCTGTCTCGACTCCTTCCATGCGCCTGTGGAGCTTTGACACGTCCACGCGGTTATAGGTAAAATCATGAAGCTAAACAAAATCCCTCTCGTGTACCATCTAGAGCCATTTAGAGCTCTATGAAATAACTGACCAATTAGGAGCGACTTCCGCTGTCTCAACTCCTTCCATACACAAACTATGATTTAGCTGTGGGACTTACTACGTGATGTTTGAGGAAGAGCAGAAGTAGAAGGCACTGTCTTCGGAGTGGAATGACTCGGTGGTGTCGGACTCCTTGGTGTGGTAGGACCAGGACTTATCTCTGTGGTAGGGTTGTCTTTGGTGGTAGGACCCTCGGTGGTCCAAGAACCCTTCTTTGTCGATGAACCCTCCGTTGTCAACGGATCCTTAGTCGCTGGAGGACCTTGCGCTGTCGTCGGATTTCCCGTTGTGAGAGCATTCTCCGTTGTGGAAGAATTCATCGTCTTTGTGGAAGGACTGTTCTTTGTTGTCGAGGGTGGTGAAGTAGTCGTATCAGGCACATGCTTTGTCGAAGATGCTGTTATAGAAGGAGTGGTGATGGGTGGGGTCGGTTGTTCCTTTGCTGTGTAATAACATACTCAAAGACAATTAAATTACTAACAAAAAAATGAAATGAATCAATGTGACCTTCGGCTTATCGCGTCGTTTATGTTTGTAAAACCAAAGTCTAGAAAAAGTAAAAAATATTGTATTGTATTGTATTTATTTTCCGTCATTAAACAAAAACAAATATATATATATATATATTTACATTCATAAAGACACACTTGTCTTATAAAAAAGGAAGACGGAGGGATGGCCCTATTCAGCGTTGTTAGCATAACAATGCTGTTTTACAGAGGGGTATTGACTAGCCTTGAACTATCAAGTAATCCATCACTGGGAATGTAAGATATCAGACTTTCATCCCCAGTGATGGTTTAACTAACAAATTATAATTCGCAGAAAACAATAATGATAACGATAATAATATAAGATTTGTGAGGCGCTGAATCCACTTTAAATCAAAATATGTCGAAAGACTCACAGTTAGAAAAGAAGATATCACATAAAAGCACTTTTCCACAAGAGTAAAACATGAATGGGATAAATATGAAATTCTCATGTGGTGAAATTCATTGATCAGCTTTGTCTTGATGAAAGGCTCAAATAAACAACATCAAGAAACCAAACATTTTCGTATTTCATCAGAAGACATTGGTTTAAATATAGACTGCGTGAATTAAAGTTTGCTTTTTGGTTTGATGGTTTATTCCACCTGGCTGCTATATATTGAGCCTATTATATGCATGCTTGTAAGAATCCAGGGGACCTACGGTTTCAGGTCCTCTCCGGCGAAGGGATTTGGTAAATGGGCATTAGTGCCTTCTCAAAGAGCATTAGACTATTCTCTTGGTTAAAAAAAAAAATCTGGATCCTCCAAGCTACTAGACCATTGCTCTATAACAGGCCCTGTATAGGCCCTGTGTTTTTCGGCTTACTTCGAATCATCGGGTCACCGCGTCGAGTCGAGTTACCCAACCTTTTGTAAGAACATGCCCGTTTGTATTCACAAAATGTCAAGGCTGGTAATGTGTGTGGAATGAACCCCTCTCATCTACAAAATAATAGTCATGTCCACTTTACCCGAAACTAAGCCTACGGCAAATCTAGGAAGGGTCGCGTCCTCAACGCGCATCCTCCATGATTTTCCGCTCGCGTTTCACGAAAGGTCGTCTGACCCGACCACCCGACCGAGCGCGATGATCCGATGATTCGAAGTAAGCCGTAACAAGCCGGACAAGCTTGTAAACCTACCTCGACAACGAGGGAAGATATCGGAGAGAGTCGTATTTGGCTTGCATTTAATGGTAGGATTTCCAACCAGGGTATAGCTAGCATCACTGCAGGCAAACTCACATACGGTATCACACTTGATGCCTTCTCCCGGAGGACAACTGCCTTGGATGAGTACGAGTGGTGATGAATAAGCTGGCACATAACAGGAAGTGGACTCTGAAGAGGATCAGGAAAAAAGAACTAGAGCTCATCAAATTATACGTTCTTTGTCGTTTTATAATCATATGATGGGGGTTGGATATCCGGACACTTAAAGGCATTGTTTAACAATGTTTCCAGTTGAGGTGCATGGCCCTATGTGTGATCAGTGTCGGTGATCTAGTGTAATATTGAAGCCTTAAAACAACTTGCGCTTCGGAAGGATCATGAAGTGCCTCGAAATGGTAAAAATCTTTGGGTGACCGGTTTTAATACCATAATAATTTTTTCCAACAGACTGTAGCATTATAAAAACCGTTGAGAAAATGTTTTTTGAAATTTCGAATTCCAATCATAAATATCTTGATAATCAGACAGGCGATCGGCTTGTAAAAGTCACGGGATTCCTGACTGACCTAAAGTTTTATGATTATGATTGCAGCAAGAGCTAAATCCAGTATTTTGTTTAGAATCTGAAGAAAAAAGATACCCAATCCCTTTAACAAACATAAAAACTAATCTTTTACCTTTGGAATTAAGGGAAAATACTCATCCAATAGCTCTAGTCTAACCATCATGAATGTTTGTCCTTTATGATATTGTCCAACTTTGTTTTAAAGAAGATTTATTTATTTATGTCACATTGCTTGTAACCTTCTCTTAATCAACTGCCCGGATACACAACCTTTCCGGACACTCAACGTTTGGGTATACTATACATCATATTAAAACGATCGAATGTGTTTTGTTTTAATATATTTCACGTTTTACATACCATCTCATTCAGAGTATATTTTACTGCAGTTTTGCTCCCTTTTAACCCCATTTATCATACTTACATCATGCTTGTATTTAATTGTTTGTATTGTTTTAAATCATTAGTATTTGTATTTCATATTTAATTAAATGAAGACATTTATGTTCACCCAATAGTCTGTAATTATATATATGCTAGTTTATGTCAAATAATGTTATTTTCTTACTACAATAAAAGATCGCAATTATTAAACTATTATAATTGTGTACATAAGTTTATATCATTTATATTATATCTGATTTTGTCATCATTGTATACGATATGTATTTCTGTTAATTCGTGCATAATTAAACCTTTAGATTAATCATGTAATTTATTGTATAATTGATTGTTGTAAAGCGCATAGAGAATTTATTATTATGCGCTATATAAAAATGACTTTATTATTATTATTATTATTATTATTAATTTGTTTCACAGCTCCACTGTAACGTTTTCTTTTTTACAAGAAAGAAATGGGATTTTTACCTGTCATGTGCCCTGTAGATATGAGCCAGTCAATCAATACTTTGGTTGCGTCCCGTAGAGCATCTTCCCTCGTAAATCCATCTCGCACCATGACTTTCGTTCCACTCTTTACATCAGTCACGACAGCATCATAACAATAGGGCTCCACCCAAACTTTATATACCCGCTTTTGTGTCACGTTCGTGAGACTGCGACACGATACTCGGGCCTGAAGATTGAGAAAAACAAAAGCCTCTATATAAAGCTACGGTCACAAATGCCATTACTTACTGCTACGAACGCCGTACGAACGAACGATGGAAATTCGGGGAGACAATGAAAAAACAGGGATATTCGTACGAAATTATCGTTCGTAGAACCTTTGTGACCGTATAGCATTAGTCAAGCATTGGTATTGGACTGACCTACAGATAGCATCCAACTTCTGTTTAAAACAATCGCAACTGCACTGAGCAATCAACAAGATTTGTTATTTTTTAGAATTTTTATTTAATAAAGCGTCAATAAAATATTAAAAAAATATGTATCAAATTGAAAGAAAAGTTATACTCTATTAACATCAATAAAGTCAACATTTTGAACTTTCACGCTTAATGGGCAGATTCATTTAACTGGTAGAAGGTCGGATACTTTAAAAAAAAAAAGATCATGTAGCCATTCAAATGTCATTGAACATGTGCATCTGTAAGATAATCTTGCCCACCAACAAGAATAAATGAGAAACAATAAGGGGGATTGAGCTCCGGATTCAAACTGAAGTCTTAGACAAGCACGGTCCAGAAGCCTATCCCATTCGTGTTTCTCGTGATTTTTGTTCATTAATTTAATATGACTTTGCAAGATGGGAATGCTCATCAACATTTGAATGGCCGCGCAGAGACTCAGAGACTAATTTATTAAACGGCTATGCTAACTAATTCGCAAATGGTGTGATTCAAATCGCATATCATCTTACGGAGGGTTAGATTGTCTTTATTTTCATGACAGGTTTATATCAAATATTGATTTGTAAAATCTTAATCATAAATAGCGTTCACGTTTTTATTCTTATTGTTCATTTACGGACGATAAAACATTGAAACTGAAAAAAAACCTACCCCCCCCCGGATTTATTTGAATTTGCTATACCTAATCATGGCGTATGTTCTTTTGTTTTTTGATTGCCCAACAAAGCAGTAGTCGCCATATTAGGGACTTTTAGATTGAGTGGACGAGAACACGACGAACGCCGACTGATTATGCGTGTCAACGTACACTGCCCATGTTGACTACGATTAGAAATCTTTTAGATTGCACTCGACGATATACATGCATGCAGGAAGTAACACTATGAACATCACGGACAAAGAGAGAGGACAAAATATACAGTTCCTCATTCTACTCTCAACAAAAGAACATCCCTTCACTGCTATCATGTAAATATGCATTCGACACCTGTTCTACACATTTTTACATAATAGCAGGGAAGGGATGTTCCTTTGTCTACCTGAGAACTGTATATTTTATGCGCACGCGGCATACTAGTACCTTGAGCATGTAAAGGCGCTATATAAATACCAATATGTATGTATGTATGTATTTTTTTTTAGCAGATGTTTCTGCATTTATTGATAAACAAATATAAAACATTCAAATAACAATAATAGTATATAATATAATTGATTTACATCAAGAGTGACAACTTAATACACACAAAATAAAAAAAAATAAAAAAAATACATAATTGAAAGCTTGAAAGTATGGAGGTAAGTAAAAATAATCAAGATAAATGCAGAGGCCAACTATCATAAGCAAAGAAGCTTGAGGCGATAGCAGCAGTATAAGATTTAGGAAAGTCAAGGTTGACGCATTTTCGATCGCCGACTGAGACGACGTAACGCACGTGCAGTGCCTTAAAATGACGTCACACGTTGCAGTCAAAGCTGTCGACGTGCAAATCTAAAAGTGCCTATTGTGGCAAACTCGAACCGGGTCGGCCAAACTCTCCTAATCAATGGTACTACCTCCAATCAGAAAATTGCCTCCAATATGCCTGAGTAAGCATGCAGTCAGGCAAATTTAAAGTTTGGCACAGTATATCACCGTTTGAAATGTTATTATTTATGACTTCCTCACTTCAATTAGCAATCAAAATGACACATGGTGGCAGCGATGAACCATTGAATAGTATGTTGTAAA